TTACGTGAAGAACTGGGCTACGCCCTGAACACTGACGCAGGACACGCGTTGTGGTTTGAGAAGCGTGCAGTTAGCGCGGGTTATTTTTAACGTCATGTGCATTTTAACGTATCTGACCAGGAGCTTCTGACCTGACCATTTCAGCTGGTCATATCGCTTTTTTTTTCTACAAAACGTTTGCCAATTTGCCTTAAATGAGAGGTTAGCTCTGCAAAAAAGAGAAGCATCGCTTGCTGTACTCTGTAAGACGGATTAGATTTCTAGACTTGACAATTACAACCGTTCTGATTACTCTGTAAGCCTACCTCCACCTTTCATCTCTCTCCTCTCTATGTTGTGAGTCCAAGCGCGTACCTTCGATCAGGTTCATATTTAGTTTGTAAAGAGTTCAGTTGCTCTTCTTACAAGAAATGTGAGACCCCGTCTGGGTTTTTCGTCGAACGCGCTATAAAAAGCTTTCGAATTCTGAGAAAATGTTACTGTAAGTTGTCCTAACTTGCATATTACCATGTTTGTTGACAAGCGACACCGTACGCAAAGTAAATTTAACAAAAAGAATAAATAAGCGTGGGCTTACAAGACGCTCCACCTTTGCTTAAAAGCATAAAGGTAAACAAACAAATAGAGATCATAAAGAGGAAACTATTCTGTAACGTTTCACTGAGTCTGAAGACGGATCGATACGAGCCGGAAGAAAGACTTTGACAACGAAATTTTGAGATGAAAAAGGAAAAAAACCTTTGATTCTGGTAAAAACACTACAGTACACCCTAAAGGAAATCCCTAGACGCGTGCCTTCGATCGACTCTCTGGCATTGTCATACAGTCGTCAACTGGGAACGCCCCTGAAGTTTGTGTCGCTACTAGAGTCCTGAACGTCTCCCAATCTGATGTACCATGTTTACTGGTTTGCTAATGCGCCTGAAAAAGGAAATGGTTTTCCATACCATCCCTACATTTCAACACACATTTTCTTCCATGAACTGAGATGGTGGGAAATGACGCTAGCTGTTTTATGGCCCCTTGGGGGCGATTTTTGGTCAAACGCTATGTTAAAAAAGGGAGTATTTCCTAAATGCATAAGCGTAAGAATGACTAAGCGTTATCTATTATTTGTTCACACAAGGGTTATCAAGAAATTGCAATTTGTAGTCGATTTCTGGTCAAAAGCTGTGTTTAAAAAGGAAGTATTTCCTAAATGCCTTAAGCGCAAGATTGACTAAGCGATATTTTCTATGTTTTCTGGAAAGGTTTCTCAAGAAACTGGCATTTGTGCTCGATTTCTGGTCAAAAGCTGTGTTTAAAAAGGGAGTATTTCCTGAACGCCTTTAGCGCAAGAATGACTTAGCATTATCTTTTATTTTCCTTCCGCAAGATTTCTCAAGAACTTGAAGGTGACATTTATGAAGTAATCGTGAGTGAGCGAAAAAGAGATCAGAATCTCTTTTCATTTTGTCGTTGTTTTCGTTTCAAAATAGGTCTAAATTTGTAAACTAATGATGTCAGGGAATTCAGTCTAAATCATGGAGAATCTGAAAGTCGGTTAAGTCTTGCGACATAATTTGGCTTTTTGGGGGTGAAAGAAACGCCGTCTGTAATCTATTATGTCTATTTTGAAAACAGGATTGTCAACGGAAGAGAAATCAATCAAGAAGATTAATGTCTTCAATATGAAGCCACACGTACTCGTGTTGTTGTTATTCCTTTCATATGCATATTACAGGCATTCATCCAAACTAAAGGGGTCAATTTTAGTTTAGCTTTTCTAAATTTTTGCACGTCTTCAAAATTATACTTATATGAATCCCAGGAAAAAAGTACACCCGTATGTTTTAGTTTTTCATTCATAGAGAAGGCCCCGGATGTGCGAGCAATTGTTTTTTACTCCTTCCATCCTCTTTGTTATACTGGGCGCTTGTTTGTCATGGGCAGTGGAAGGCTTCTCCACTTCTTGTCAAATTATTGAAAAAATTAAAATGAAAACACAAGAAAGAAAATCAAGTAAGATAGTGAAATCTTTGGGGAATATCTGTGTTCGATAAACGCGCGACGAGACACCGCAAGATTGCCTATCGCAAACCTGATAAAACTGAATTGATGGGGTGTTCTTTTAGGCGGTTGATCGCTAACTTAAAAACAAACAGTTATAATGCTTCTATTTTAAGGACAGAAGAAGTTTAAAGCGAAGGCCAAGGTGAAAAACCGAACGCTGCTGACCCATTGGCCGACCACGACATTAACGATTCTACCAGAAGCCATAGGCGGTGAAGGGGGGAGAGGGGGATCCGTAGCCCCCCATCACCCCTCTACAAAAAATTTGGGGGGCAGAGCCGCCGCGTTTAAGTGCCAAAAAACACTTTTACGAATGTATTTGTCATCCCATTGACATTGCCTGTGACATCGACGACTTCAGATCGAACATTTTCTGCCCTCAGACGACTCAACAACAACCTAAGAAGCACCATGAAGCACGACCGCCTGAACAACTGACTGATGTATTGTGACAAATCGAAGTTGTGACCGTGAAGCTTTGAAAGAAGTTTGCTTGTGCCAAAGAACAACGCAATGGGAGTGGAGGATGAGTCCCCTTCTCACGTTTGAAACGCTCCGCCGCCTCTGTAAAGCTAAAGAAGTTTTGAAAAAACTCTCCGGCGGCTACTTATAAATACTTTGTAGATGAACAGCTGCCTTTTCTTTGGAATGAGGCTAGGCAAATAACGAAGGATGGTGCGCTGGCGAGATCTGTAATTGAAAACCGACTCAAAAGGTGTTGAATACAGTATTGACGGGCAAACTAAAACCTCCCCTACAGAAGAAAATCCTAGATATTAGCGTAAAGCCAAGCCCGTGATTTATAATGGTAATTGAACTGAGTGGAGTGCAATTTGGTCTGAACGTGGCGCGAGTTCGATTTGAAATCACACAATATAAAGTATGATTTCAGAAAAAAATTGCACGACAATTACCACTAGTTAAATCACCACTTTATTACCGCCATTTTGAAATCGCAGAATTCAGTCAGTACCAATATGAGTGAAGCTCCACGCGCGCGGGAGGAGTCCCATATCTAAGTAAATCGACCCTTCCGAGAAAATTTGGTAATCACGAGATCGTACACCGACCGTCGACCGTCCGTCCGCACCTAGGCATACCAATGTTTACTCTCACACTTTCTAGCTACTTTGGGAGCCTAGGAGAAAACTGATTGCACATCAATGTTGTGATCAATTGACGGCTATCAAACAAGGTATCCGCTAACCAATATTACCTGACCGTATCGCGGGCTCAAGTCAGTCGACCCATTCACGTCGACTATTTTTTGAAGTTATCTGCTGACAAGTTACTAGTTTTCAAATGATCGCAGGCTCAAGTTTAATTTTTTAAAACTCATATGAAATATGTTGTGTTTATGTCTTTATGGCCGTGCACTATCGAAATTTTGATTTCCAACTGACCTCGGACGCGAAAATTCAGCAAATTGATTTTCGCGCCTCGAGTTCATCTTTGAAAACAGACAACACCGGGAAGCCGGCTTAAAACATAAACTTAAGCTTTCAGCTTAAAGACTCAGGATTTTTAGAGACAATTCAATACTTGTCTTCGTGAATCAAAATTGTTGTGTCTGTAAATGTTTCACCGAATTATATTTCTTTCATTGATTGTTAGTAGTCTCCTTGCAATTTCAATCGTTTTGCTATTAATGTTTTCAGTTGTCCATGAACATCGCTTCCAGGAGTACTCAAAATACCGCGCCTATCACACACTTGTTAAGTTTACACATCGTCATAAAATCATCAAATAAAAAGTAAACACAATTAATTCTTTATTATGTTGAAGCGTAATTCTATTAATGTTCACTGCAAATTTGGCGCTTGTCAAAAGTGAGAACCGGCTTGCCGTATAGGTGATTTTGGAAAATTTTTGAAGGGTTCGCTAAAAGCCCACGCGTGCTTCCATCGTCCTGAACATTGATAAATATATGATAAAATCAGCGCCTCATGGTACTGTTTCACCTCAGATGTGATGTATAAAAAGTATAAAAGGTTAGTTTACGCGCACCCAGATTTGTTGGCAAGATTTTGTTAACTAAACTTGTCGAACGCAAAAAATTCGGCCTGATTTGTTTTCCAAGAATTTGTTTTCCAGGCCTAATATACTGTGATCAACAACCATTATGGCTTTTAAATGTGATCGAAGATGGTTGCTATTTTTTGGGTGTACATGTAAGGCTATCAACTCGATGTAGGATTTGTTTCACTCTAAAATCACTTAGCCTTTCCCTCAAAAGTCACATGAATGTTCCTTAAGTTAACTGATTTCTGGGTTACAATTTATTATAAATTTATTAATGAGAGCTTCGCTTTTAGCCCTGGCTAAATCTATATATTAATTTGATCTAGTAGTGGTTTTGTTGAAAAGCGGAAACAAAAAGGCTTTTACATCTCATCAGAAATGAAGCAATATACAGCGAAAATGGTACGATTTAAAAAAAATGACGCAATTTAGAATATGAATGAGGTAAATCACACTACTTAGAGCCAATCACATTGCAGGGATCACCAGTCATTTCAAAATGGATATGATAGAGAAAAAAGGTAAACCCTGACGGGTGCCCATTCATGGCGTATCTTAAATTCTCACTATAATTTAGTTTAAATTCACCTTTCAGTGCTATCATTAGTCTGAGCCAAAAGACACGACAATAGATACTAAACGTTTAATTTATTTAGCACTGATTCCCATCCACATTTCAAAATCCCCCGCTACATAATAATACGATGCTTACCCTAAATCCAATAAATTTGCACTGTGAAATACCACACAGTTACACAAACATTTGTGGGCCTACTCTGTAACATTCGTCATCGCGCGCGTCCATTGTTTAATTTCTTTCGTTAATAGTTAAATCCCAATGTTCTTATTTTGAAACAATAAGATAACTAACCAAACATAACTAGACAACTCAATACGTGAAACAATGCCAAGAGAAAGATTGAACTCTATTTTTTTAATTTAATTTCAACACTGAACCCATTCTTAAGATTAGTGAAAATGATTTTGTTGCCCTTGTTTGGAGGAGATGAGGACGAGGAATTCACTTGGACAACTGGTTCGTAGTCAGCTGGTGATCCATGTACAAAAACCGATTGGATGTTACTGTCTACGTCAACTGTTAGGGTGACTTCGACTTCGTTTTCTTTGCTTTCCATATGGAACCGTTCTCTGGGTCCCACATCGCTTAGCGTATCTAACACAGCTGATGTGTCAAAGTCCAGGTCAGGGAAGCTGATACTGATGTAGAGCTCCGTCTGTGATTCGCTGGCCATGATACGACACTCCTTATTCACTTCCTTAATTGGTCCCCACTTAAGGGTAGTGACGGGCTGAAAAATAACGTAACCATACAGAGGACTTACTGCTGTCAAACTGTCGGGTGCTGAAAGAAATCTCACAACATGGGCTTTGTGATCTTGTTTAAGCACCTCATAGAGCTTTTTCTGATCTTCTTGCAGAAGCCATGCGTCTTGTGCAGTGTGTGGATACGACGGTGTATTTACGTAAATTGCGTACTCGTAGCTTGCATCCACGGAGCTGTGCTCAAACCAGGCAGTAGCGTAGTATCCAGTCGAAGGGTTACCCTTTTGATTTTCTGACGTCTGGTTTTGGATGTGAACCCTAACATGAGGTGCAGACGAGAGTGGAATGTAGTAACTGTTGCCTTTCGTGTCGAGCAGAATAGTAGATGATGCTCCTTTACTTGGATTGTATGGTGTCATGGCTGGGAAAGGACTAGTCATTCCTTCACTGACACCATCCACCTTAATGGTGAACGCTGTGGAACTTCTGCTAAGTTTGTCTTGAAAAAGAGTTGTCTGTGCTTTTAGTCCAGGTCCATTTGTCAGTTTTATGTCACTTCCCAAGCAAACTAACAAGTTTTTATAAAAGAAAATGGACTTCTTAAAGTGTAGTTGTACATTTGGAAAGGGATGATTACTATCTTCGGACTTGTAATGTGGCTGATTGAAATTCATGCCAAACACGCCATTGGACAAAGTTTCTGTACCCAGGAAGGTAACGCCTCCAGCAGACGACTGTGGGCTGTAGTTTCTTTGGACAACCAGTTTTGCCTTGTTGAGGGTTATAGACATGGTAGTTGTTCCAGGAATTCTAATCCAATCCCAGCCTGCATCTACGTCATGTGCCTTCAACGCTTCCTCGCTGTTAGCTATTAGCATTGAGCCGTGGCTTGCAAAGATACCGTTGGGATTTTCAGTTTTCTTTTTCTCGAAGTCCCAGACGAACTTGTTAAAGCCCTTTACTGTCACAGCCCAGTTTTCTCGCCGGTGAATAGAGAAGGCAGCAAAGTTCTTTGACCAGTGACCTTCTGGGGATTTTTCAGCAGCCAAATTCTTTGACAGGGCCTTCGCGTTCACCTGGAGAGAAATATAAAAGAAAAAATAAAAAATAAGAGCGTGGTGTTCATTTGCGTCACTCCTAAAGAGTGAAAAATACAGTATAAAGCCGCAAGTAAGAACCTACATTTTCACAAGTAAGCCTAAACAGGTTGTTACATAAATGCTAGTTAACACGAATTTAGGCCATTTAGGTTCTTAAATAGGTTCTTATTTTATATTTGTTTGTGGTATTCAGCCTATTCCTTATACAACATCTGCATACCAAATTGGTATTTATGTAAAAATAATTGTAAGCAGAACAAAGTATTCATATTTTTTTGATAGATTTTAGAAATAAGACCCTGTCTCAAATTTTAGGCTTAACAGGTTCTTGTATAGAGGAGACGACCTAACAGGCAGAATTTAACCCAAAAGGCTCTTAAAAAGCATGTTCGTTCCATGGGTTTTTACAGTACCTGCCTTTACATTTTAGCTGCACTTTCCTCCCCTATCGGTAAGCTCAAGTCTAAGCTTGGTGGGTGAACTTAAACTCGCACACTCACTTTGTGGAATTACTAAAAGCGATATATCATTGGAAGGCACAACTAATGGTGGTGTACCTTTACTATACATTTTGTTCACAATTCCGTCTCTTTGTGCGTATGGGTGATTTCATTGGTAGGCCACTTGAACTTACGAGTCAGAACAGCGGCGGAGGGCAACCCTGACTTTCAGTCCTGTTTTAGCTTGCCTTAAATCTGACCTCGACTTTGACTTAGCTTCTTCTTTTTTGTTTTGAAAAAATGTCACTTCAAAGAAACGAAACACAGAATGAAATTTTACTAACAAAATTGCTTTCCATTATATTTCACAATGAAAAAGAGCCAGAATTTCGACTCAGGAACCCGAATTCTAATCCAGTGCTGATCATTACGGATTTTCCGTTATATTTAATTACGAGGAATGTACGCAATGAGTTTACACCCTTACCTTAATCATTACTTGCAGAGAACCAAGCGTGTTGAAATATGACTTGCCTCTTTTGATATAACCATATCTCAACTCTTTAGCGACAATATCATCTGACGGTTGATATAAACGTTCAAAGATTACTGCATTGTTGTTCAAATCAGGAATGTATATACCTTTTAGAGGCGTTGAGGGTAGGGCACCTGGATGAGCTACAGCAATGTACGCGTAGGCTGGGAGATTTTTCAACAGAGATACCAAAGAATAGTCTGGAAAGCGCCCTCCTGCACTACTTGGAGTTGAATATTTTACAGCTGTTATGCGAAGAGTTTTAAGAGCTTGCCGTAAATTCAGTTTAGCAGTTTGTGATAATTCAAAGGCTGTTCCCTCCAAAAGATATTGTACTTGCGCCGCGGTGTGCAATGCGTCGGGTATGTATGCACACGCATAAAAAGTCATGTGGTGGAAGCCGGTGTAATCGGGTTTGATGAACCCTCCTAAAGCCCTGTTGATGGTCAATGCATTATCCAACCATTTTTTCAAGGCGTCCATATCGCGTTGTTTTGCCTTCTGTTCTTCTTCTGTAGTGTCAGGCATGACTAGAACAATAATAAGTCTATATAACATTCTTGTTATCATAAAGTCCGCTGTTGTTCCATTATACTCAAAAGATGATTGATATACTTCTCCAAAGTCATGGTACCATTTGGCGGTTTTTATTAACTTCTGCAATCTGTTTTTATATGTTTCATTTTTGGCAAAAGCGTCTTTCAAAAGAAAAAGACTGTGCATAAATCCAGCGCTGCTTTGAAGATTTTCCATGTATAAAGAACCCGATGCACTTCCATCAGCCCAACCTTGATCCTCGAGATAATCTAGGACGTTACAAATTCTTTCCAGGCGAGCTTGGTTTAAATATTCCAGTGAAAGGCGTACTTTAGCTTCTGTGTAAGGCTTTCCCTGTGCTTTTAAATGGTTAAGAAACTTGTCTTCCATTTGTTTGTCATCTCCACAAATTCGAGTAAGAGCCGCACTCTCGTCTTGATTATCCTGAGAATTAAATTCTGGTGTCTCCTTAGTCACTGTCCTTGTCACTTCATCACCCCGAGATTTTAAGTGGAGTTCTATAGCCAGGGGTTGCAATATTCTTGTCATAACGAAGCTATACTTTCTTAACCGTTCAGTGGAAGAATATTCTCTTGTTCCCCTTGTAGATCTTAGACAAAAAAGCGGAGGTCCACTAATCACCTTTTTGCCGGAAACTGTCTTAAATTCGAGCCTTTCATATTCCTTGTGCGCGATGTTGATACTTTTCTTAAGGGCGTTCCATCGATTCCTCACAGTTCCTGAAAAATCGTAAGTTGTTGTTTTCTCATCACAGTACCAGTTTCTCAACCGACTCTCAATGTGGGATAAGCTAAAAATCTTAGACGGATCAATATCTTTTGGGGTTGCTGTAGGAATTTGTTGACTCCAGTTATAACTTTTCTGCCATAAATGCCAATACTTATACTTTGAGCCAAATTTGGTAAATGGTAGAACAATTTTATCGCGAGACTGAAATGCAAGGCTGGGAACAAACTCCAACAAATCAATATAAATGGTGTCCTGATGATTTAATACAAAATCAACTGTCTCTACTTTCGCTTTAAGAAGACTGTTCTCAGATTCTCTACACTCGAAGTACGAAACCCATATTCCTCTCCAGCCTTTAAACCCCATATCGACCATAAATCTTCCCACTGTTGCCTTGTTAGTGTTGTCCGTAAGAATAACCTCCATCTTCTTTCCATTGACGGCAGCTGTCTTATAAATCCACATTTTAATCCCTCCTCTCCAAAGACCCTTATTCTCTATGGGAAACTTAGATGGTCGGACGTACCTAAAAATGGATTTTTCACCAGCTGTCGACTCCAGCTTGAGAGACTTTTCCCCATTCTTGGCTATGAAAGCGGATATCGAAATGTGTCCGTTTGGAGTACTTGCCACTTCGAAACATTTCTCCTGCTTGGAGTCTTCAAAGTCAAGGGTATCTTCACATCCATTTTCTAGGACACATACATAGGAATAATTCTCAGTCTCTATTCGTACCCTTACGTGACGAATCTACGTAGTTTAAACAAAACTTTGGCAAGATGTTTTGTAGTACATCTGGGATGAACGTACACGATCGTGAAAGTTTTACGCAAGTGAGCCTTATTTTGATCATATTATTAATGTCATGTGAGCTCAAATGTTCATTAAATTTTGAATAGTTAACAAAATATATGTTTTCAGCATCAAATTACACAACCAATACATTAAAGGGAATTGCAGTTGAGGCTTTGAGAAATTGTTAGTTTTATAGTTTCTCGAAGTTCATCCCCTTTGTTTGTAACTTTAATACTCATTCTCGGAAGCTATGATTGTTTGTCATGAAGCTGTTGTCGTTACTAGTTACATTGGTGTGATGTATCGGGTTTGGATTCACCCATCCACACGAGTGCCTTAATCCCGTTTGTATTCGCTAACTACTAAGAAGCAGGAATGCATAAATTGGCCCGCAATGCGATTTCAGTGGCCGATATCTTTCCTGGTTCCAGCGCTTTAAGCCAGCACACGTTTTTGAAGGAGGAATGTCAAAGAGAAATAGCTAGGAAAGGCCGAAAAACATCGACCAACATTAACCTTGTATCAAAAGATACCTTTAATTTTATCCTTGGTCGTATTCGACACAATTTACGTGGTACTGTCACAGAAGATCCAACTCCACCGGCATTTAGATTGGCAACGTGTCATCAGTCTCTTCAGCCCACCCCAACAAGGGCGGCATGGCGAGAGAACTTGTACACAAAGCAACCATGTTTGTAATAAACAGACTCAATGCGCATGCTCAGTGAAAGTCAGTGTTCCTCGCCACTCGTGGGGACTCGTGGGATAACAATTCCCGCGAAACAACATTTCCCAAATTTATGCATTTAGTTCGACACGGAATAAGCACGATGTTTGAATCACTGCCGTGCCAGTCATGTAGCACGGCAGACCTTGTCGAATTTAATTGCTCTGCCGCACCAAATTAGAAATTTTGATTCAGACGTCGTGCTCGTGCCGTGCTTTTGTCGAACGTAATTCAAGAATTAGGTTCGGCAGGGCAGTTAGAATTCAACTACAGAAAAACTCACCAACATTTGACAAATTAAACAACACGCAATAAGAGCGATGAATTTTAAAACAGGGTAACAGGATAGGAGACGTTCTTCCTACTGTCATCCTCGTCGTGGCCATGGTTTCTCATTTAACGTACCTTCTCCAGCGCTCTTAAACGCTTGTCGGAGAAAACAGGTTATCTCGTTTGATTCCATCCCCTTAATATGATTATTTCATTTTTTGTAAATAAATCCCTTGGTTCTATCAGAGAGTCAAGTAATCCAGTAAAAAACCTCACCGCTTTTTGCTGATGGAAACAGCAAGGTAACGCTAGCCATAAGTACTAGGAGTAGGAATGTGTCTCGAGACATAACTGACTCAAACAAACAACGAGCTCGTTTGGACTTCCTCTTGTACTCAGTTTGAAGAGCTATGAGAATAACAGATACAAGAAAATATAAATCGAAATAAAACTAATAGTCCTTGCCCGTTTTTATAGTTTTCAACACAAAACCCCTCCATATTTACAGCAGCACCTCTTAACATGAATATTATATGTAGTCCACATATCGTGCTTTAGTTTGGAATTGAAATTTATTTTGATCGTCAAATAAAATGCTAGAAATTTACCACATAATTTCTTACCTCTGATAGCAGTGCTAGATCCAAAAATACATGTTTCGACCATGCGAATGTTATATATCTACTTTATTGTTAAACTGTTTATTGTTCTTTATCCCCCTGCTAGTTCTTATTTGAACTTCCGAAACTATTAAGACCTAAACGCTGTTTGGCGGCATTCCTAGCTTTAATGGGAGTAGCTAGGAACTACGTTAAAAGACTCTGCAAATTTAATATAGCGGTATTTACTTAGAGGTTAATGAAACATACCGGCATTTACTTCGTTTTTAAGAGCTAAATATCCTTAATCTCTGTTCTCTGTTTAAAAAAGTACTCCTTAAGATGAAGATTGTTCCAACTATCGTGCTTTAGTTTTGAATTGAAATTTATTTTCTTCGTCAAATAAATTGCTAGAAATTTACTATATAATTTCTTACCTCTTTGATAACATTGCTAGATCCAAAAATACATGTTTCGACCATGGAAATGTAATATATCTACTTTATTGTTATCTGTTATCCCGCTGCTAGTTCTTATTTGAACTTTCCTTGTAATTTGAAACAACACCTACCCCTAAAGACGCATGCTTCAAGAGTATGTTTTGATGGTACCCTTTTACGGTTAACCAATATATATATATATATATATATATTTTTTTTTTTTCTTAAAGGCCCGAATTCCCGCTGGTGGTAATGCACTTAAAGTAGACATAGTGGGGGTTCAAGAATTGATCCTTCAGGAATACCGATCCCGTAACAAAATTATCTAGGGGTGGACAGGTGACCACTGACAACGCTTTGCTGTTGAAGCCGAAATGAAACGTCTACGTCTCCGAGGAAACTAAACTAGATTAACTGCGATTTCATACCTCTTTGATGGCATTCCCAGTTCTAATGGGGGTAACTAGGAACCACGGTAAAAGCCTCCTCAAATTTAATATACCGGTATTTACTTAGAGGTTAAATGAAACATACAGGCATTTACTTCGTTTTTAAGAGCTTTATTATTATATTTTATCTCTGTTCTCTGTTTACGAAAGCACTTGTTAAGATGAAGATTAATTGGAATTTATTTTGATCGTCAAATAAAATGCTGGAAATTTAATATATAACTCCTACCTTTTTAATGACAGTGCTAGATCCAAAAAGAAATCTTTCGGCCATACGAATGTAATATATCTACTTTATTGTTAAGTTGTTTATTTCTCTTTATCCCTGTGCTAGTTCTTATTTGAACTTCCCTTGTAATTTAAGACAACACTTTCCTCTAAAGACTCATGCTGCATGAGTATGTTGTGATGGAACCCCTATAAGGTTAACCGTGTGAGCTCCGTTTTGTATTCTTTTGTATTCTTCTCGTTTTAACTATAGTTAAAAACAATTACTCTGATGTTTCACTTAATTCTGTGATTCCGTGGTAACTGTTATGCCTAAAATGACGTGACCGAAAGACCCTTTCAAATGTGGGCCCAAAGGCACTTTCTTCCAGTTAGATGTCCGTGGAGTAGGGAGAATTTAATGAAATAATTCGACGAAGTCGCTGTCGTCTCTACGTTAATTCAAGCACCCTTGCATTTTTCGAGACGTTAAGTTGATTTAATGTCTAAAATATTGTTCACATTTATTTGCGATTAAATACTACTTAGGGGTTCAGGTAGCCTCCCCGCAGACGTCCTTTGGGGTTCGTTTGTCACGCATTCATTTCTCCCCCACGGAGGAGAAATGAATGCGTGACAAACGAACTAGGGTAGGGTTCAGCTAGCTAGGGTTCCGGTAGTTGCTACAAGCAGTAGGCGCTGACAATTTTCCATCCATACGTAAGACGAGGATTATAAGACGATCATCAGTCAAAGGCCTCAGCAATTTCTTGTGAGACAGCAAAATCGACATCGTTGACTCATAACTTGTTCAGGGCTTAGGACTATGCACGACTGTTTTCTCTTTGTAGATTTTCCAATGAATAAGCTCTTCTTCAGAAAACGATAGACTCTATTCCACAGTTACGCTATATTATTGCATTGATCGGCTGTTGAAACTATTACAGCAAGAACTAAATCCTGTTTCAAATAGAATTTGCATGCCGGTCGTGTGTCGCTTAAAACATTTAAAAAGAAAGAAATATTAAAAACTATGCCGGTGGACTCCATTTAGACCTTCCATAAATTCCCTAACCACAAAATTTCAATAAAATTTGCAATGGGACTCAACTCAAATCTTTGATAGAAAAAAAAAGCTAGATCAATTTCGGTTTCTTACCTCTTTGGTGGCACTCCTTACTCTAAAGGGGTAACTAGGAACTACGTTAAAAGACTCTGAAAATTTAATATACCGGTATTTACTTAGAGGTTTAATGAAACATACGGGCATTTAGTTCGTTTTTACGAGCTTGATTCTTAATCTCGGTCAGTAAAAGAAGTTGTAGTTTCGATTGGAATTGTGTTTGATACTTAGGGGCAACCACTGACCATTATTACTTCTAAGAAAGCATGTAGTAGCACAACGGAAAAACTAACTTTAATCACTGGTTTATAAAGTGTTACTGTCTCATATTTTCTACTGCACTCTACTTTGTCTGATTAATGTGTTCAATAACCATTAACGTAACGGTAAATTATCCATTACAGCCCAAAATTACATGAAACGAAAAGCTTTACAATATTTTTCTTTCACGAATTACAAGCAAAAACAAACTTTTGAATTTACGGTTCGCACACTGAAATACGTCCCGCTAAACTAACCAATTACAGGGGGCGTACGTATTAAGAGATATGATAAAATGAAGTATGGCAGGACATTATGCGTGTAACAGTAAGCTACAGTTGTTCACAATGTTACATTTTTTTAATTTCATACTGCTTTGTAATGTTGGCATGGTGTGCCATTAAAGAAATTGCACTTTTTCAGTGAAATGTTCTAGTCCACTTCATCTTAAAACAATTACTTATCCTTATAATGTAAAAGAGCCGATGAAAGATCTACCAGAATCGTCCCTTACCCCCATTTTTGAAATTAACCTCAAAATATATAAATTTCTTGCGATAAACGAGACCTCCATACTAGAAAATCGTTACATCAAAATTATTGTACAAAACAGAGAAATATACAAACAGACAAACAGACAAACAAAAATATGAGAGACCAAATGGATTGCCCACCTAAAAGTACTTCGAGGACCCTTTTCTTGAATGTTAAGACCTTGATGGTATGGCAACAGATTAGGCAATACTCGTCTGTAAAGTCCATATGTTTTAACCTGCGTGCTAATTAACCTCAGCTAATGATTCATAAATGAGGCTCAACCTTTGCCCATTGGTCGCACAATTGTGCCGGAACAAAGTACCAGATGATCGTTGTTTCATACCTGCAGTGGCTAATGTTTCAAAATGACAGAAATGTCTGATGAGTTGGGATACTGTCCGTGAATTTCAAGTGATGTGATAACAATTGCCCGAAGATCATTTCGAACAGGTTAAACATTTGTTTCTCGGTGCGCTTATCAGTCAGTTCTGCCAAAACGAAACTGAGAGTTTAGATCACTACTCAGTGACATTGATGCTGATCGCTAACGTCGACCTGGTTCACGGAATGTGACGCAACAGTCAGCATAGAGAACACAGGAGATGTATTCCTGAAAACTTGCATTGACTTTCATATCAATGAGATTTTCCTTCAAAACGCATGCATTTTTGTGCGTTTTGGCCAGAAATTAGAGCCACAACTTCGTTCGGATTCGTCAGGACACGTATTCCTGAAAACCTATGCGTTTTGGCCTTGCGTCCAAAATAAAACGGTCTAAAGGGGACGTGTTACAAAAACAAAAATTAAAAAAAGAAATTTCGAAAGGTGAAGCTATTGAAACCTGAGCCCTACGGTTTAAAATGCGCTATACAGAAAAGAGTCGCTGGCGTTATTCAAGCAAGCGTATTGCGAGTTACACATGTCCGTGAAAATGAAAAGCATGGCTACAAAAGGTTTTTGCCAGATGTGTGTCTGCCAATGCTCGGTGATGACAGTCGAATACAATTGACCACTCCGGAAAATACCACAACATACCATAATGCTCTTTGTTTGTCACCCCCAAATTTTGCATAAGAATTGTCTTTAGTTTCTCTTGGGAGTTAAAATGGCCCCAAGAGAAACTGAAAACAATGCTTATGCAAAATTTTGGGGTGACAAACAAAGAGCATTATGGTATGTTATGGTATTTTCTGGAGTGGTCAGTACTAATACGGTAACATGGACAGAACTTCCATTACAGTTTTGTTAAAAGAAAAACATAGATTTCTGAAAGGGAACTAGGGTAGACAGGGGTTTAACACTAAAAGTGCAATTACACTCATAGAATTGTCCATAAATTAAAAATCGGACAGATCTGAGATGTATCTTGCGCGTTTGGTACTGTAATGACCATTCCAACAACACCCCAGCAATCTCTGGTCAATGTTGTTTAGTCGAGGGCCGAGATGTTCTAGCCGGACTTCAACATTATTTTCTTGGCGGGGGAGGAGGGGGGGGGATTTTCCTAGTTAGAGCCTCATCTTAAAACTAGACACGACAAAGACTATTTTTCCTTACATTTTTGTCTAAGTTTTTAGCTCTCGTTGTGAGTTCAGCACTTTGCTATCTTTGTTTCGTTTAATAATGGTCTTGTCTGAATGAATTATATTGGGACCTACGTTCGACAAAGGTGTTCTTTTAGGTATCGAGGTATTTCTACAATGAAAGTGAGTTTATAGTAGCCTCGCTGTCGCACTAAAGTAGGCCTCGAGTCGCCCAGAGTGGCACAGGTGCTACGATGTATTTCTTCCTTCATAACTAAAACCATTATTTATCCCGAGTTTCCATAGATATTAAGGAAAGCCCTTAAATCGCAACGGATCGGGAAAATAACCACACAGAAATCGAAAGCAAGAAGAAACCACTAAATACGTTAAAGCGAATTTTATTGAAAGTTCCTGCGAGTATTAATCTTCTGGAATCTATTACTTGTATTCTTATACAAATCCTTTATGTTTACGGCAATTTGAGGGGAGGTTGACGCCAGGGGTGTGTATCCAGAAAGCGTTTAGACCACTTGATGGCAAAGTATATAGAGAAAGATAAAAAGGCGCTTAAGAGATGAGTACAAATATCAAGTTTATTATTTGAGACGGCTCACAATGCGCAGTCAGTTTCTATGTCTTTTCTCTGCTGCGTAGATCTGGCACTGAAAAAGAGTATTGCGAACTGAGTCAGTTACTTGAGGACATCTACACCTTTCGAAGATCTTTCGAAAAGATGCCGAGGAAAAGCAAAAGAAGGAAAAGGAGCGGAAGCTGAAGAAATGAGGGATGCTGCCTTGCTTGGCTTGAGACGTAAGTTTATTCGAATATAGTGAAGCAAGTTTGAATCACTTAGCAAAAATATAACAAGTATGACACTACAATATATATACACACGAAAAACTCCAGACTACCTGTTAATGAGATAGATGCATAAGCTTTAATGTTCCACCAGTTTTGAAAGCCTGAGATTTCCAGAAAGCTACTGTTAAGGAAACTGTAAAAACATGCGATCGAAAGGAGTGCCTGTCAGCAAAACTTTGATGACAAACATCGTAATCACAAATCATGACTTGGTTTGTTAAAGCGTTTTTTAATTTAGCTCCTACACACCCTTTTATCATTTTATGTCAAGATTTCTTTTTTTCACTCCATTAGCCATAAAACGGTAAAAATTCTCTCTAGTTGGATGTAATAATAAAGGTTGTTGTTGGTTGTTAGGATGTTGGGAATAATCTTGTACTGAAACATTGCTATCGTTGTCATTTTTCAGTGTTGCGAAAAGTTCATAAACTTTGTAAATGTTATCATAACTGGTGAAAATGACAACATCAGCATTTGCACTCTGCAAAAGTACTCTAGGTATTATTTTGGTTCGCTGCATGCCACAATTTGATTCAATTTTTTAGGTTGCCCATATGTTATATATATTCATGTGTCATGCCTTTGCCAACACACTAAGAATGTAATTCCAAAATATAGCACCAGTGCTGTTCCTCAAAGGTGGTTGTTTCAAGGACTACAAACAATAGAATTACCTGATTATGACCAAAAAGGGGGCTACACTTCAGAATTTTGTGCTCCAGTGGACGGTCCTTACTAATGGATATTGCACCGTAATAATTTTAGTTGTTAAGTTCAATTAGACAACTTTTTCTCTCTCCAGCATCAAAAGCAAAGCCAGTCAAAAAGAAAAAAAGGGCATCAAAGCTGTCGGCCATAGAGATGCTGGGAACGAAAAATGTTAGGAAGGCTAATTTTAAGGTGCTTGAGTCAGAACAAAGAAAAAAGAGTTCGGGTTCCAAAAACAGAAATATGAAGAAGAAGCAGCAAAGAGACAGGAGAAACTTGAACTAGAGTTGGAGGAGAGAAAGAAATTTCTTGCTCTGTTGAAGAACAGGCTTTCGAATTGGCACTGAACAAAACCTGAAGTTGAGTTGATACAAGACTTTGGAGTTGGAAACACCAGTGTTCATAAGGTGTTACCCTTGTACTTGTATTTTTTGAGTTTTGTAAGGAAACGTTAAAGAGAGAGGAACTTTAACCAGAGATTAGCCTGCATAGCAGGCTCAAATGAGGAGGGCACTTCCTTTGCCATTTTCGCCTTTTCCCTCCTACCCTCCCTGTTTGAACTGGTTACACTGCAGTTAGAAGAGAAGACTGCATTTCTTGGTCTTTTGAAAAACACAAAGTAGCTTTTATTTATTTTAAATTAAATCTTGAATTGGTAAACAAGACTGAAGTTAAGTTAATACAAGACTTTGTATTTGGAACCACCAGTGTTTGTAAGCATAAGCCTAAGTTGTTAACTTTGTACCTGTATTTCTTGAATTTTGCAAAAACTCTTTAGAAACACATGTTTGATGCACACCGCTGTTCTTGGAATTTAAGGTGATTCCCTAGTAAAAGAACCTAACATAGATTGTAGATGAAACTTGGTATACTGATGTAACAAGTCAAGAAGATGATAAAAAGGTAATAAAAAGTGGGGGTCACCTTGCTCGTTTTGACGTCACAATGCTGACAAATACGGCTATTTTGGACCCTTTGACAAAAACCGCGCGCAGCCCAAAACTAGACAAAAAGGAAAGATTTTTTCAATGATGCATGTGGTATCGCACAGAATTTGACTTTAATGTATTGTTTATCCACTTACGTACTAGAAAAATGCCTTTTGATGCCCTTAGAATTAAATTGGACACGCAGTATTCGACACGTGATAGCTCAATCCGTACAATTTAGTAAAATTGCCGAAAAACTGAACATAGATTTGTGCAAATTTTTTCTCACCGAAAGGAAGCACTGTCCTTATTGAAATCATGAAATAAAAAATCGGGGTCACCGTACTCGTTTTTGCGGTAATGCTGCAGAAAGTGCGCACCAAATGCATTTTCCTTGATTTTTGAGAGAGGACTGGGGCGAGTTTCAAAATAGAATGTATGCGAAAAGGGGAAGAAAGTATTAAAAAATCCGTTCTTACAGAATTTACATCGAGATATCACTTTTAGGACACAATGTGATAAAGAAAACGTTTAAATGAAAATCAAAGTGAATAAGCACAAATTAAAAATCCACTATCGAGGTTCTCCGTGAGGAAGTCGAACTCAGCAACACGCGTACTGCTTACGTTATGCACATTCCCACCACATTGAGTCTCACCCCGGCAAGAAACAACCGCAAGCAAAAACTGCAATAGCGTTTCTCTTCGGTCAACTTTATTTTAATAATGTTACTTCACATGCTCTTTTTTACCGAGGCCATCTTGTTATGCGCAGTAAGAGATGCGCAGTGCAAAACCAGGGAATCACCTTAATGGTTTGACAAATAGGGTTCTAACGTGGGTTGGTCAAGATCAAAATATGCACCAGTCTGAAAACCATACAAGCAAGTATGGCAGTTGACCAGTATAACTGCCACTACATAGTACTTGCCAATGGGCTGGAGCAAAAGCTTCAAGTTTTTCTTAAAATCCAGAAATGCAAAGAGCTGACAAATCTTCCCAAATCCCCATTCTACACAGGTTCTCACTTTGCTCATTTGACTATTGAATTCCTGCTGATCATCTGTCAATCTAACTCCCCTATAGGGAGCCAGTATGTTTCTTGTCAGGCCCTAGGCTGGGTCTCCATTAATCGTATAGGGTTCCCCATTTGGGTTCTGGAATCTTCTCAGCTTATCAGCCAACCGCTGACCCCTAGCATGAAGCTATTATGTCGTTTTCTCTCTATAGGGCCAAACATGTTGGCGATCAATCCATTAGGAGCTTCAACTGACTACGAAATAATGTTAAAATATACAATGATAGTCATGGGCAGGTTTAAAAAGCTCTGTAAGGGACCAGTGGTAATTACAGGAGAGCAGGCTCTGATATAGCTCGCGTCACAGACGTATTATTTAACCTCGGTTAGTAACGTCTGCGAAGCAGCACTGATGTCTGTGTTCTAGGTCCCCAACGGACTCAAGGAATTCCAGAAGTGCATTTCAAATTTCCTTTCATCTTGATTGGAAGATTGACAATGGAATTCTGATACACTGGTGGGGGCCCAGAACATGGATTTTGGCACTGTTTCGTACACAGACTTAACCGGAGTTAAGTGTCATCTGCAACGTAGGCTACATTGTACATGTATACCCTTGTTACAGTAGTTATTTGTCTGTTCATTTTTAGGGATGGGCTGTGTTATGGCGTGGGAAAGAGTTGCCTTGGTAAATTAAATTCTGGTCCTGGGGCAAAGTAATAATTAGTTCTTGAATCCAACTTCTACACAGCATGCTGTTGTACCTGGAACGTTATGCAGTGTGTTCTTTTACGTCTACTGTACATAATCTTTTGATTTCTTGTTGGGCGTGCCATTGGTCTTGGGGTATTGTCATTTAATCCCCAGCACTGGTTAAGTGGAGCAACTTTTTCATGTATAACTTGGGAAAAAAGCCCAGGATCAAGCCATACCAGATCTAGGGAGTCCAAGAGATCACCGAATCTGTCGTGAATATCATCAAGTATCTGGGTATTTATTAGGTGACCATAATAAGACAAGTTCTATGTCATTTAAGAACGATTCCAGTCTCTATATTCAAGAAGTTTTTTTATGTACTTGCGTCGAAGGAATGGGGCTTTTAACCAACCACTTTGACCTGGGAGTTACAATAAAGAAGCTTAACATATTATTTTTTTTATAAGGCAAGTTCTGTTACATAGGTTTAATACTTTATGAAAAATTAGGGTTAGCTCAAATTCGGACCTTCCAAGAGGGTCCTGAAGGGGTAAAATGGGAACTGGGATTGGCCGGTTTTTGCCCTGGGAAAATGGGATTTAAGCCACTGGGACTGGGATTTGGTCACTGGGAATGGGAATAAAATGTCAAAAATGGGAATGGAATAAATAGTTTGGAACCATGACCAGTCCAGGCATCACTTATTTCCTGAGTTAAGAAACGCCTGAAAATTACTAATGCACCTTGTTCTAGTCAATTTTTAGCACTTTTATCTAGGTTTCCCCCGAATGGCCCCGATTTGCGGTCAACGATATTGGATGGGTACAAAATGAGATTAAATATGGAGGCTCTCTTAACCCATCACGTTGAAAATCAGCATGCCGTAACACATTTTAAGAGAGACACTTTTACATTGTACGAATATGCGACGATGTTTTGCACATCAGTTGAAGAAGCGGTGAAAAGGGTTTCTAAGAGGGCAGCAGCGCACTACACACATCCAAATTCCTATCACAAACTGCCAACATAACATGGAGTTTCCTTACCTCACATCACAATTCCAAAGCCAACCTCACAGAAGATAACCAGAAACGAGGAAGCTGAAATGAGGGCATGGGCTAAAATGCATAGTAAATCCGTCAGACAACAGAATGTAAGACAAGATAACACAATGGACAGGGCGGGCACTTTGCCTCTGAACTTATATGAAACTGAAACGGTCTTAAAACCAGTCAATTTAAATTCACTGATAGGCGTAGAAAGAGTTCCAAGCGAAAGCGATGAGCCACCTAATTCAAATGAGGATGCCAGTTTACCACCAGAGTCTCCCAACAACGAACGGGTAGACAGCTTTAGTGCGAGTGACAGTGACTCTGAAGAAGAGGTAGACAGCGCTCTTGAAACAATCAACATGATCCGTCCGACCAAACTGGGAAGAGTAAGAACACTTACAAGTCGGATGGCAGATTTCCTGCAGGCAGGAATGGCAAGAATGTGAAGTGGCAGCGACTAATCGCTATAAACTCGCTACTTGAAAGTTTTATTACTGTCTGAAATGATCCTGTTATCTCCAGAACATCTTTGTAAATCCTTGTGAATTTTTGTGTCTTTCTTGGGTCGTATTTAGAAGCCGTAATTTTGCGGACGCGAAGCTAAAAGAGGTGGTATGTATAACACTGGGATTTTTTCCAAATTCTGCTAGTGGGAATGGGATTTGAGCATTGGGAAGTGGGACTTCGAAAAAAAATGGGCTGGGAAATGGGACTGGTAACCCCCCTTCAGGACCCTCTTCCAAACATGGCTTTTAAGTCACACCATCTATTTGGGTAAGTAAGCCTTCGCAACAGGATCACAAAGGCTTCCATTCCAGTGACAAAACTTCTCTGGCAGCAGATATAGCATTCTCGAATTTTCAAAGCCTCTAAAAGGCGGTATATGTCACACTTCTGCGAGACGCCAGAAAACGTAGAATAAAATTTTTATGCAGAATAACCGTTTGCTAGGTATCTAGACAATATGTTTTGACTTCGCATCACACTGACTCTCGTTTAAGTCTTCGATGTTTGTTCTCGGATAATCGTGATTGTAATCAGGGAACATAGAATTAACAAAGTTTCATCGACAAAGTCTTCATCAGATGAGTCAGCTCTAAAGCTTGTTGAACTATCATCATACATTAGAGCAGTTATGGCATCGTGGCAAAAGCGACGTAAGGTAGGAAAATAAAACACGTCAAGACCAACCTTGCCACAGAAGCCATCATTTTTTTCGACCAAGCTAGCCACAATTCTTCATGTTTCAAGAGAAAGTCGAACTCCCTGCTAAAATTCGAAAGCCAGGAAACCTGAAACTGCAAACGCCTAACTACACTTTACGGTTTCCCAGGAAAAACCTGATGCTAAAGGTATCTCATAATAGCTTTTTGACCGACAAATTGTCCAACTGGAAAGCAACAGACCCTAGTGACATTACAATTAGATTACTGAAAATTACTTCTTCAGTCTTTGCTTCGATAGTAAAGGAGAACTTTTACAGTAAATCAAGAAAAGTAGCAAAATGTAACGCTTCCTTTTAAGAATGGCGCGGAAAACAACTGGGATAATTACAGACCCATCTCTGTAATGTCTTCCCTTTCCAAACCACTAAAGAAACATGTTGTTGAATTCTTTGCAAACTATCTTGTAACAAATGGTTTGCAATACGATCTGCAATCGGCTTATCGTGAGCATTAACCATTCTGAGTGTGCTCAACTACTGTTCAATTTGGACCGGGAGGAGCTTAGAGCAATGATCTTTAGAAAGGCGTTCGGTGTTGTCAATCATCAACTTTTGTTAACTAAATGACGGCTGCACAGAGCGAGTTATTCCACACTGTCCTGGTTTACGTCATATGCTTACGTCGAGAGAGCTCAAACCGATTCGCTTTTAATCGGAAACGTTCAGAGTGGGATTGGACCATCGGCGGCACGTATAAAGATGTCGAATTCCTCTATCTCCTGTCTACAGTCTGGCCCAAAAAAAACTGTTTGACGATTGTTTTCCCCTTAAAACTGTCAGATAATCCTCGAGAGAATCTGTGTGGATGACACCTCTCATTAAAACTCTTCTTAAAATGAAATCTGGGTTTCAATCTCAACTGGCCAAAGAGCAGATGTTGTTCAAAAAGACGACAAGACCTCGTCTATCAAGACTGTACTGTTTGGTGTCCCACAGGGATCGATACTCGGACCTTTTACTTTCAACCTCTATGGTTCTGATCTTCAAAAGCACATTAAGTGTCCTTACAACTTTCTTCGTTCACTCAAAGGCGAAGGACCTAGCTAATTGTGTCGTGGAATTAAATGACGCAATATCACGTTTGGGGGATCACTCATCTGAATCAAAACTCGCATTGAATGAAGCTAAAACAAAGTGGATGCTTGTTTCCACCCGCCAGATGTCTCGAGCTCACGCGTTACACGATTATTATCCAGCTGTTAGCTGTTATAATGGGAAGCTACTACACGTGTCACCACAGCTAAGGTACTGGGGGTTCACATGGACGAACATCTAACATGGCCTGACCACGTGACTGCGCTGGTTTCACCCTGTCATTCAGCATTGGCGGTTCTCCGGAAACTGCGCAACCGCGCACCATACCATGTTCGCAAGCAGTTAGCGGAGTCATTAGTGACGTCAAAACTGGACTACGGGTGCATCGCCTACTATGCCCTTCCAGAATACCAAATGAAACGGCTGCAAAGAGTTCAAACAACATGCGCGGGCAACGTACTTGGGCGGTATGCTGTTTTAGGGGACTTGCGGAAATTAAACTGGCTTCCAATTATTAAAAGGAGAGACATAGCACTACTGAAAATCACTCATAAAGCCCTCTACGATGATGTTTGACCTGATTACTTACGCCATAAATTCCATACTGTCAGTGCCTATAACTCAAGATCTCTAGAAGCACGAAAGTTGGCTATACCTGACTATAACAAGTTCGTTAGGTTAGCGATGAAGCTCATGTTCTCCGAAGGAGAAAGCGTATGACTGATTTTTACTTGTACATATTTTTTTAAGACACATTTTGTACTCTTTCTTAATTTATTGTATATATCATTTTTAATTTAAAATCGGCTTGATTTTTTTGTAATGATATATACTGTACTGCAGTTAGGGCATTAGTAGGCGAAGAGCCACCTCGTGGAAGTATTACTAAAAAGTCGTTATTATTATTATTATTATTATTATTATTATATCATGGGTGACAAATTACTCCTTAATTTTGGCGCAAAATTTCAGCGTTAATTTATAATTTCAAATGTGAAATTACAAAATTGCCATGGCAACCGTTCCGACGCAGCCAAAATGGCGTCCAGGTTTGAAGATGTTACAGATTCTGATGTGACGGCATTAAAAGACGCTGCCGAAAACTTGAACACCCGTAAAAGCACAGTTAACTGGTTGAGAGTTTTTGAGAACTGGTGTGATGAAAATGCCCTCGACAAAAGCGCTGAGAAGCTTCCTCCTGAACAGCTGGATAAAGTTCTTGGGCGGTTTTATGCCTCTGTCCGTAAACAAGACGGAACCGACTACGAACCTGGCTCCTTAAAAGTAATGCAAGCAGCACTTGACCGCCACCTGAAGGAGAAAGGGTACTCTTTGTCAATTATAAAGGACAGAGAATTTTTGAGTGCTTGAAAAGTGCTAGAGGTAAAGGCGCGTAAGCTGCGAAACGAAGGTAAAGGAAAATTGCCAAATAAGTCACGAAGCCTAACAAGAGAGGAAGAAGAAGTGCTGTGGGAATGCGGACAGCTTGGAAATACATCTTCAAGGTCCCCCCTTTACACAATGTGGTGGCTCCTGTCATAGCATCTTGGTTTACGTGGCTGCCAAGAACACTACACAATGAATGTGGAGGATTTCACGCTTAATAAAGACGACAACAGCAACGAGTTCATAACATTCGCAAAAGGCCCCACAAAAACACGGCAAGGAGGATTACGACTTCAACAAAGGTCTGTACTACCTCAAATGTTCGCAACTGGCGACTCACGATGCCCTGTCGCACTTTTTAAGAGTTACCTTCCCAAGAGGCCTGAAGATTTAAAGTTATCTGGCCCTTTTTACTTGGCGTGCATTGACAACCCCACCAAAACCGATGTCTGGTACAAGAAAAGCCGAATGGGTAAGAATGCTATCAGTAGAATCATGGCAACTATGAAAGAAAACTCACCCTTACAGGAGATGTGTCCAGACAAAAGATTGTCTAACCACTCGGTCCGGAAAACTGTGGTGAGGAAGCTAAAAGCCAGTGGAGTCCCAAAATCTGGAATAATCATAATAACTGGTCATCGACAAGAACAGAGCGTGGAAGCATATGACTCCGGGAACGAAGAAGAGCAGCGTCAACTATCTAACATCATTGATGGCAAAGAACCCCAGTTCAACCAGACAACCAGCCGAGTTCCTCTTCAGCCGCTTATTCAGTCAGGTGCAGCGGTTAGCAGAGGCCATGTACATAATTTCCGCAATTGTAATGTGGTGATAAACCAAGGACAGGCTTACGCGTCGTCTTCAATGCCATCTTCTAACACCGAGCCGTAAGCTTCAATAATTTTGTCCACATTGATTTCCAGCTATTCGAGTGACTTAACGCTCTTTTGCCTGCCATATATAGATTTAGCCAGGGCTAAAAGCGAAGCTCCCGTTAATAAATTCATAATTTAAATCAAACAATAAACTTGTAATCCACAGATCAGGGCACATTCATTTGACGTTTGAGGCAAAGGCTAAGTGATTTTAGAGAAAAATAATTTGACAGTCCAATAGTGAAACAGCTTTTACATCGGGTTATTAAATAGTCTTATTTGTACACCCTAAAATAGCAATCATGTTTGATCACAGTCGATTAGGCCTGGAAAACAAATAGACCTACCTATTCGTGTATTGTATTTGCATTAGCTGTTGCATCATAATGTGGCATTCACCACTCTCTCCAACATTGCTCCGTTTGAGAGACTATGGATAATTGGACAACCCCGAAACATAATTTTAAGAAACACACGCGCCACGATAGTCCTTGGTGGCAGCCAATTTACACCTTGCATTCCTCTGTCTAAAAGAGAGGCCAAAATAATAAATCAGGCCGGATTTTTTGTGTTCGACAAGTTTAGTTTACTAGTAAATCTTGGCGACGAATCTGGTGGCGTGTAAACCAGCCTTTTAAACATACTTTTTCTCATCACGTCTCAGGTAAACAGTCCTATGAAGCCCTTGTTTTTATCATACAGACCTCGGACAGAGTTTGTTCTTTTTTGCCCTATTTAAACCTATAATTCTGCAGTTTTTCACAATTTTGCAAGATAATTTGCACTCATTCAATATCCACGACGATCAAAGCACGCGCTTCCTTTGCACAACAAATTATAGCATTGAATTATAAATCGTTTTCATGAAGAGAATTCTATAATGCCAGGACTTTCAGTTAGAAAAATCTGGTCCTATGTGATATGCAGGGTAATATGGGCTTTTAATGAAAACGATAAAAAAATTCCCAAAATTATTTTTCGGCCAGCCGGACGGGGCTCACTTTTGACAGGCACCAAATTTGCAGTGCGATTAATACAGTTACCATTTACGCTTCAACATCATAGATAAATTGTTATGTTTAGGTTTTATTTCCCTTTATTTATTAGACTGCGTACGGTTTTGTTATGTGTAGTCTTTAAAAGCGAGTGATATTTACGCGCGGCGTTTTGAGTATTCCTGTATGAGATGTTTATGTTGGACTGGATACAACCGGTGCAGCGATAAAAATTGCGAGAGGGACTACTAACAATCAATAAAATAACTATAATTCGGTGAAACATGTACAGAGACAATAATTTTCATTCACGAAGAGAAGTATTGAGAGTAAAGTGTCTTTGAAAATCATGAGTCAGGTAAGCATAAGCTTATTTATGTTTTAAGCCGGCTTCCCGGTGTTTGCTCTTTTTCAAGATGAACTCGAGGCAAGAAAATCGCTCAGAGCTTTCTGTTTACAGCCAAAATCATAAGTAAATAATCTTCGGAACATTTTCTTTGAATTTGCGGTCAAAAAATGTCTAAAGGCTTTTTAAACCTGATACTATTGTAGGTTAGATCATTGCTCGTGTATAAACTTAAGCCGCATAAACCATACGCTCGACTTCAGGAAACCGAAAAAAAAACACATCAAAGACAACAATTTCTCAGGCTTACCAGTCGAGATGCTGCTTCTGAAGGTCATCAAGTGTTCCAGAATTTTCAACCCTCTTACGCCTCAAGCAAGGGCAAGTGAGTAAGCTTATTTTTGAAAACGATGCCATCCGAAATCGGATTTCCAATGACTTTGACAAGCGGTGCATTCGTCAACAAAAAGCGCAATAAGCAAACCAGCCATGAATTACAGAACAATCTTGATAGCAGCTGTATTTCACTTTGTACACCAAGTAGAAAAAGCCAGTTTAAAACATCACAAGATGACACAAAACTCTGTAAGCTCCAGCTATCAATAAGCAAGTTTCCAGACGCTGCATAAATTTTCCGCATGAACTCACCTGTCAAATTTTGACCAATCAGAACATAAAAATTGGACGTAGAGCGTGATCAACGCGTGACAGTGAGAAAAGTCAAAAGTGATTGCCTTCCTCGCATGTAAATGTAAAAGCCGGTTGAATTTTCGCGTCCGAGGTCAGTTCGAAATCAACATTTTAAAAGTGCGGCTCATGAACTCGACTTGTTTCATATGCTTTTTAAAAAAATTGAACTTGAGCCTGCGATAATTGAAAAGTAGCAACCTGTCAGCGGATACGTTAAAAAAACACTCGAACTCAGTGGGTCGATACCTGAGCCCGCGATAGGGTCAGGCGATACTGGTCAGCAGAAACACTATTTTGACAGCTGTCAATTAATCAAAACATGGATGTACAATATCAGGTTCCAGGCTCCCAAACTAGCTAGAAAGTGTGAGATTAAACATTGGTATACCTGTGGTGCGGACGGACGGAAGGTCGGGTGGTCGGTGTACGGTCACGTGATTGCCGAATTTTCTAAGATGGATCGATGTTCTAAGCTATGGGACTTCGAATTGAGCCCGTGATCAAATAAAATATCAGCGCAAAACTTTAAACACTACGTGACCTGAATGGACAGACTAATGAGCCCGCGATACACTCAGGTCAGCATATACTCTAGTTTGACAGCTGTCAATTAACCTTCATTAGAATGGCGAATATTCGAATTAACAGACTACGAGTGTGAGTAAGACATATCCGTCCGGCATGTAGTGGAAAATGCCAGATCGTGTACCTGAGCGAACCTGAGCCCACGTTATTAGTTTTCTAATAGTGGTCTGCACATGTCCCATTTTGACAGCTATCAATTGACCTTAATTTGGCTTGCCAATATATCTTTAAACGACTGTCAGCCAACTGACAGCCTTGCCCGGCGTAATTTTGTTTTTATGTTGAATTGGTAAGTGAGACATATTATATCCGCTTATCTGTAGGGGCAAAACGACTGGTCTTTCATCTGAGCCCGCGAGATAGTCATGTAATAATTGTCGGCGGATGCCTAATTTTGACAGCTGTCAATCTAATCGTACTCATACGGATGGCTTACATAACTAAGAGGCTAGTCAAGTTGTGCAAGATCCTTTATGATATTTGACATCGGCTTACATCAAGCGTGTGTACGGGTGGGCGGGCGGGCGTACGCTACGTCATAACCAAATATTCTCAGATGGATAGTTTACTAAATTTTCTTACCCATGGTGCTCCGCTATTATAACTTGGCCTGTTTGCTGTTTGTTATTAACAGTCTGAAAACATTTTCAAACACTGACATTAACTGGCATTTATAGCTTTAGCGGATTATTGATCGCATTTGACCCGGGCGTCGTTTTCAAGTTCATTCATGAATTCCAATCATTCATTCATTCCAATCATGAACAAAGAAGGGAGACGTCGGTTGATTTAACTTTGAAACATTTGATGAAAAACAACAATGAAAAACAAGAACAGTTTAAAAAGCTTTTCCAAATTGTCTGTACATTCAGAAAATTAAAACTTTCCCCAAGGTACGCTTAGTTAACCTTTTTTTAAGCTTGGAATCCTCGGACTTTTTCAATACAATAGCCAATTTAAAAAAAATCGCTTCTTGTGAACGTAATTTGTCACCCAAAATATTAATAGGTAATCAAATGGTGAACTCGTGAAATTCGGGAATAATTTCACCCGTTACCATTTGATTACACATACTTATTATTATCATTATCTCGCAGTATAAAACTTTGGAATGCTGTCCACACTATGAGTAGTATAAGGCGCATAACGTAACCTACACCACTTGAGAAGCTATACTTAGAAGTAAAAAAAGGTCGGTGCGAAACCTAATACGATCCTAATATACATAATGATATGAATCTCTCTACTCAAAAAGCCAGTTTAGAATATTAAAACCTACGCATAGACATGATGATATAATTATCTCCACTAGAAGCCTGTTTAGAAAATTATTCAGTTTTTATACTCTCATTATCTCTTATATGCCTAAACAAGGCCATCATAATATGGTTATCTCTAGCAAAAGTCACTTTCAACAATGACGTTATTGACTCTCTTGACCTTAACGAAGTCTGCGATACGGGGGGTCATCTCCGCCAATATTCTGTTTCAGATTCTGTTATTATATTAATTGCGCACAACGAGACCTCAGTTCCACTTCCTTTATTTCCTCTACAACAACACTTTCCTTATGTACAGTTAACTCCACACCTTCTCCAGCAACCTGACTAACATCAGTACACTCCCTTAGAAAACTTGCTGAAAATGCACAATCTCCACAATATCGCAACATAAACTTTATGAAAAGCAATAACACAAAATACCAAAACAACTATAAAAACAGGTACTCTTCCAAACAAAACTAAAAGGAGAACAATGGTAATGAAGCTTATCACAACGGTGACGAAACCACGGTAACAGCGTTTTGCTTCTCCTTGTTGACAAACTATCTCTTTCCGAATCGCTTCGTTTTCACGCAACGCAAACGACCGTACCTTTTCCTCGATCTTGCTGCAATAATCTCCAGTAATCGAAATCTCTTCACTCTCAAACTTTACAGTTACACATTTCTGTCCCCAAAATTGTCCCCATGAAGGCATGTAACTTGAGTAATCTTGACTTACATAAAACTGATTTCAAGATATCGGGCCTCACTTCGGAAGAACACTGCAAGTTCACGACACCCTTCAGCGTCGCAAATCCTTTAATACTTTGCACTCCGCCTCAAATATTTATTCAGATTCAAAGTAGACAGACTGCAAATTAGAGTAGTTGCTAAAAAGTATATCTACGTGTCCCAACTGTTCACCAGTAAGATGCCTGAAATGCGTGCAATTCCACAATTGGTTTCGGCTCCATTAAATCCTATACCAAGTGCAGAACATTTTAGGAGGAGCCACCCACCGTATGAGCACAGTCGCAGACAACACATATAAGTGTTGAAAATAACGCAAAGCAAAACTAAGACGTTATTAAACGAGCTAAGTGCAACGCAACTTAAATAAATAAATAATGCACGCACCCAAAATTAAATTGCGTGAGCACACGTACCAAGATACAACTGAAATAGAAATCTAAGTTATAAATAAGCAATGTAGGGATACGATGGTGCAATTCAAGCCTGGATTGCTAATCTCATCTCCCGCAGACCTGCACCGTACTTCTCGACGATAAGACCATGGCGATTGACGAATTTATTAATGAATTCTCAAGTCGATTGGTTTCAAAGCCTTGTTGTCTGAGACAATGAAAGTCCGCGGAGTCTATTTATGTAGTCAACTTTGGACGTGCAAATTCTAGCATATCTCACCAGTTGAGATATATAAAATCCGTAAGGTGGATTGGCGGGAATGTTGCTGTCCATATGAGGAAAGTGGACAATCCGGAATGCAAAGTCATCTCTCTTATCGTAGATGCTGATACGGAAAAGTGTGGTTACGTCGCCAGTCTTGATATTTGTGTCGAGATAACACACTTCAGTAGATGATGTGGATGTGTCCTTAAGTTCCAACTCCGACAGGTAAGTTGCGCCCATGCAATTTCCAAACTTCACATTGTTAATACTGAATAAGTCGACGATATATCGAAAGGTGTTGCTGAACTGGATGACTTTTGAAATGTCTTGTTTCATTGTTTTGACCATAAAATCGTACTCAAAGGTATGAAGGAAGAGATCAGCCAACAAAGGTGCACTTAGAGTCTCATCTGACATGACGGTTCACACGTAAGCCAGTTCAAACCCTGGGCAATCCAGAACTAATAATTATTTATTCTTTATTTCTTCCAGAAGTAATACTTTCTCATAATTATTTCTTTCCCCTGAGAACTCGAAGATAGCTCGAACTAATTCCGAAGGAACTTCGGGACATTCGGAAACAACTTCGGAACATCCGAATAGAACTTTGGAACACTCCTGCGCTGCACGAATCCTTAACTTCGCGCTCCGCCGAAGTAATAAAACTGTGTCGTTTCAGAACGACTACTATAACTGGGGCCACCTAGACAAAGTTGACCAATTGGATTAAAGGAAAAAGACAGTACATTTCGAGAAAGTTAGTAGTCAATCATACATACCACGAAACGAAATAAACAACATGGATCGGAAATACCCAATTACCAGCTACAGACGAGACTTTTTGAATCCGCTGAAGAAAGCCCGTGTTTCCAGAGACGTCCGTTAAGGTGAGTGACGAAAGCGAAAAACGTCAACGTTGGTTATATTTTTGTCTTAAGGTCGCATGTTATTGCAAAACACAGCAATGGTAGCAAAGAAATCGTTGGTAAATGACAAAATATCACCTTGTGTCACACAAATATGCCTCCTGGGTGTTACATGTAAAGTTTCGAACAGCAAAACATTGTCTGGTGAAACATTTTGTATTCTTGAAAAACGTTTGCTATCAATTTTTGAATTTTGTGAGTACCTTATAGTTTTTTTTACGACCTGCTGATTGGCCCACAACCAACTTTCTTGGACTATATTGTTATTTTCCTGTAATCCAATTGGTCAACTTTGTCTAAGTAGCCCCGGGTATAGTAGTCGCACTGTAAAAGTGTTGTGGTTCAGTACATCTTCCACTGAATCGTTATTCATTTTCTTATTCATTACTTGCCACTCAAAAATTTTGCATTGTGCTACTTTTTTCCATAACTCGTGCCCTGAATACTGCTTGAATGAAGTTTGATGCGTCTTTCTATCCTCGCTGGAAAAAGTATCTAAAATGTGAAAGAGTTCTCCTTTCTTCTAACGACAGACTCGGCTTTTCGAGCCTGAGTTTGGCTTTTGAAAAACGTTTTTTAAACTTAAAAGTTGTTATAACGTTTATAATCTGTAGTGTATTAAGTCTATCGTACGTTTGTCGGTGAATGCAATGCACAACACTTGAACACGCACCACACAGTTTGTGTAGGTTAAAGAATTATAGTTATTGGTAGCGATCTGCACATGCTTATTATGCCATATGTCTGAAGAAAAAGCAGAAGAAAAGAGGAAGAGGCCCTAAAGCAGCTTGCAAGCACTACAAATGGAAGCACAGAAACAACTCCCCGAAGGAAAGCAAGACTTAAAGTGCAAAGAGAAAGAGTAAGAAAGGAAAGAAAGAGCTCAGCAAGATAGCATGGAAGTTAGAGATTTAATCTGCCTTGAAGAAGAATTTCAAAGAATTATATTTTGCTCAAGCTATGATGGGAGTTCCACAAAAGAATTCCAGTACCGCTAACACAGGGATTCTGCAGACAAGGGAGCAACAAAAATCAACACGAAAGAAGAGCATAATAAACACCTTTCTATCACAGTTCAGTAATCCAGATTCCAAGAAATCATAAATAATAATGTGAAACACTTGAAACTGTGACTCAGAAATTTACTCGATACCTCTGTACTTTTATTTCGGACTTCGAATTTCACCACAGAAATAGATTTTACATGATTGTGCGTATCCAGTTTTCATGAGGTTGGAATAGTTTTTTAGGTACTCTTCAAGTTGGGAACCCGCCCTCATTCAGGTAACAACTATTGAAGCAGTCTTAATGATGTTGTCTACAGCCTTGTTTGTGCTGGATGTTGATGAGAAAAGTGGATGCATTAAGCTAAGGTTCATAGATGTATTCAAAGCCTTAATGTTTCGCATGCAGAGACATTGTCATCTCTTAGATATGCATCACGTAATTTTAACTTCTCGTAAGCAGTTTAGTTTTTTGGAGGTTGTAAGAAGTGATCATTTGACTGTTGACAACTGCTGTAAATTGTTTTTAATACATAACAAACACATGTAAACACAATCTCAGAAATGATGTGTGTCTGTGAGACTCTTTAAGTAATTCTTTTTCAACTAACATTTCATCTGTGTGGATCTGAAATTTCTACAAAACTCCTATATTTCGTCCTAGAATCTTATAAATCTACCATACTCTTATTGCTTTGCTCCTATTTTCCGTATAATTATATAGCTGGTAGTTAAACCGATATTGTCAGCATAGTTATTATCCTTTAAGTTTTAAAAACTGTCCAGTTAAGGATCAATTTGGATAGTTTTAGATAGGACTTTCATATTAAAGATGGCAAACTGTCCAATTTAAGAAAAATAGGACAGCTTGCATGAGCCAGTCAGTCCAAGAAAATGAAATAGGTAATGGAAAGTAGCCAGTCAGCTGAAAGCATTGCCTCAGCGCGATAAAAAGGACGTCGTGTTGCTGAACAATGGCTGAGTTAAGCAACGCAGATCAGTTTGCGAAACGTTTCTATTTCTCATGACCTTTTAAGCGATAACACCGCAAATGAAAGATTTCCTAGGCTGCAAGAAGAAGACCTTGCGAATCTGAGAGGCAAAAACCAAAACCAAAACACCCCCAAGAGTACAAAAACTTGGCTGAACGTTTTCAGCGAGTGGAAAGGACAGCGTTACGAACGAAAAAAGTTTGAAGACATCCCTCGCAATGAGCTGGATGGAATTATTTGCCGTTTCTTCGCTGAAATTCGAAAAAAAGAGGGGGACGAATATGAGCCAGAAAACTTGGCTGTTATGCAGTGCTCTCTAGACCGTCATTGAAGAACTGTGGCAGAAATTATAGTATTTTGCGAGATCGTGAATTTGCAGAAACAACACAACAACTTGAGGCGAAAGAAAGAGAATTACAAGCGCAGGTTATCGAAGCCAAAAAATGCCTCTTATGCTTTACGTGAAGCAGACGAAGAATTCCTGTGAAATTCAGGTAACCTCAGTAAACATTCTGCCCAAGCTCTAGTCAATGTAAAGTTCAAAAATGTCACCGAACACTTTGGCCTCCGAGGAAGACACGAACCTATTTCAATGATGGTAGAAAAATTTTTAACCAGTCCTGATAGCTCTGTAAAGTACGTCACCTTTAAAGAAGAGCCTACCAAAACGAGGCAAGGGGTACAACGGATTGCCCAAAGAGCTGTAAAACCTCAAATGTTTGCCACTGGAGGAGAGCGATGTCCGGTAGTGCTTTTCGAAGACATGATCTCTACACATCCACCTGAACTCAAACTCCACGGCTTATTCCACTTGACAACAATTCCTAGACCAAAAGGTGAAGTGTGGTTTAGCAGACAACGGATGGGAGAACACAAGCGGATTGGACATGAACTCTGGTTTAACAGCTGCCACTGGCAAGAAAATTACCAACCATTCAAGCAGAAAGACATGTGTACAAAAGCTAGAGAATGCTGGTGTGTCTTGGGACAAAATCATTGATATATCTGGACACCGCAATGTTCTCAGCTTAAATTCTTATGAAGGGGATGACAAGAACCAGGCAAAAGAACTCTCAAAACTAATCAGTTGATGCAAGTAAAACAGTGATACTCAACAACAAAGTATCAGCAGCCCTAATAAAAAGGAGAGACTCCCTCTTCAAGCAAGTACTTCTTGCAGCAACTTCAGCACTATCAATAACTTCACAGGTACAGTGAATTTCTATGGTTGGTTTCCCGGGTTCTCTGGTCCATCCGATACGCTAGTGCCATCTTACCAAAGCACAGAGCCACAACGTTCATGGAAAAGGATCAGAGCTCCTATACTCTCAGACTCAGATGAGGACTAGCCATTGCTGACCTTTTAAAAGCTATCATTTTTATCTTTTACCTCAAATGAATTTAAGAGCAATTTCACTATAATTTGACCTTCTTCAACATTTTTGTACATAAATGAATTTTATTCCTTTTATGGCAACATTCAGTTTTGAATATTTTGAAAAGTAAAAAAAAAATGAAAGAGAAATCTTTTCAGTTACACCATTGAGCGTTAATCAGTGCATTATTTTCGTATTTTCTCCAGTCCTTATTCAATGATCCAGGATTTTTTCGACTCACTTTATTATATTCTTAACGTTATTATAGAATATTTTGGTAATTTTCAGTTACACCATTGAGCGTTAATCAGTGCATTATTTTCGTATTTTCTCCAGTCCGTATTCAATGATCCAGGATTTTTTCGACTCACTTTATTATATTCTTAACGTTATTATAGAATATTTTGGTAATTTATTATTATCATTAATACAATGCTTTGCTTTCTTCTTTTGCTCCTTTGAAATTTATTGCTTTTTTAAGATTACAGCATTCTGTCCTGTACATTTTAAACATTAAAATAATTCAAAATAAGTTTGCCTTTTGCTAAATATGGATAACATTTGTTCGGACAATGCCAAATTGCATCTAACTTGCTATATAATTAATAAGTAAGAGGACTACATGCTTGCCCAATGTTGGAAATAATTGGATTCAAAAAATTCCTCTGCCTTGGAAATTTTGGCTGTCCTCGAAATTTTTTTCATCAAATTATGGATTACTGGTTATGGAGAGCAAGTAGTCCTATTACAAATACTAATTACTTTTTTTTTTGGAAAATGGCTGGGAGCAGAAGACTAGGTTGCCAATAGTTGCTGGTCCAGTTGATGGAACCCACATCCCCAACTATGCAACCATGCAACCATACCTCAACTCACAAGATCACTACTCTTACAAAATGAAGTACACAATCACAATCAATGTGAAGAGTGTTTGCGACTACAATGGGAAATTCATCG